GGGCCACGAAGCGTGTGAGGGGTGTGCCGAATTGGGTGTGCGTGACGCATGCGGGCGGCAGCACTGGGCCTTCGGCGGAACTCCTATGGGGCCACGAAACGAATGAGGGGTTGCCCGAATGGCGAATTGGGTGTGCGGACCGCATTGCAGCGGCCAGCACTGGGGCGTCGGCGAGCAGTTCTGGGGCCACGAAGCGTGTGAGGGGTGGCCGACTTGGGTGTGGGTGACGCATGCGGGCGGCAGCACTGGGGCCTTCGGTGGAGTCCCTATGGGCCACGAAAGGTGTGAGGGGTGTCCGATTGTGTGTGGGTGCCCGCATGCGGAGCACTGGTGGCCTTCGGTGGTGCTCCTTGGGCCCCAAGCGTGTGAGGGGTGTGCCGAATTGGGTGTGCGTGACGCATGCGGGCGGCAGCACTGGGGCCTTCGGTGGAGCTCCCTATGGAGCCACGAAACGTGTGAGGGGTGTGCCGAATTGGGCGTGCGTGACGCATGCGGGCGGCAGCACTGGGGCCTTCGGTGGAGCTCCCTATGGGCCACGAAACGTGTGAGGGGTGTGCCGAATTGGGTGTGCGTGACGCATGCGGGCGGCAGCACTGGGGCCTTTCGGTGCGGAGCTCCTGGGGGCCACGAAACGTGTGAGGGGTGTGCCGAATTGGGTGTGGGTGACACATGCGGGCGGCAGCACTGGGGCCTTCGGCGGAGCTCCTATGGAGCCACGAAACTATGAAGGGGTGTGCCGAATTGGGTGTGGGTGACGCATGTGGGCGGCAGCACTGGGGCCTTCGGCGGAGCTCCTATGGGGCCACGAAGCGTGTGAGGGGTGTGCCGAATTGGGTGTGGGAGACGCATGCGGGCGGCAGCACTGGGGCCTTCGGCGGAGCTCCTATGGGGCCACGAAACGTGTGAGGGGTGTGCCGAATTGGGTGTGGGTGACGCATGCGGGCGGCAGCACTGGGGCCTTCGGCTGAGCTCCTATGGGGCCACGAAATGTGTGAGGGGTGTGCCGAATTGTGTGTCGGTGACGCATGCGGGCGGCAGCACTGGGGCCTTCGGCGGAGCTCCTATGGGGCCACGAAACGTGTGAGGGGTGTGCCGAATTGGGTGTGGGTGGCGCATGCGGGCGGCAGCACTGGGGCCTTCGGCGGAGCTCCTATGGGGCCACGAAACGTGTGAGGGGTGCGCCGAAATGGAGGAGGGAGGAGGGAGGAGGGGGAGGAGGAGAGGAGAGGAGAGGAGGAGAGGAGAGGAGGACGCGGGGACCGTCTCTTCAAAACGAGGACCCAACACCACAGGATGGTTTGGGAAAATTGCAACGCCAGGATCCCAGACCACCGACGTCACGATTTTTTCGTGACGTCGACTCCCAGAGGTCTCGACCCCTTCCCCGGGACCAGGTTTTCATCCCGGGTCGTTTTTGGACGGCCCCGGGGCCCGGCAGAAGGGCGCCCGCTCAAGCCAACGACAGCGAGACACCTCCCGTCGCGAGTTCTTCCCTGCTCGAGGGGGTCTGGGATCTCAGGGTTGGCTCACCACGCGAGCGCGTCTGGAGTGTGAGTACCGTTCGACCGATCCCCATCCCCAGCGGCGTGGCCTGGGGACCCCCCCGGCCGATCTGCCCCCCTGGACGGGGACATGGGGCCGTCCCCTTCGGGCTTCCAGGGGTGTACCCCCGACTGGGGCGGTAATTTGGGGGGAGGATCTCGACGGGGACGGGGATGGGGACGGGCATCGGATCCACGATGCCGAAAGGTGGGCTCGTGGCGCCGGCACCGCGGGCGGGGGAGCGGCGGCGCGGGGCCCAGGGGCCCCCCCGGGGGCCCAGGGGCCAGGGCGGGGGGGAGGGGGGGGGGGGCAGGGGGCCGAGGCCCCACGGGGCAGCCCCGCCCGGGCAGGGGCTCCGGTCAGCATCCGCCCCCCCCGCTCCCGGGAGGGCGGCTGAGAGGACGGGGGCGAAGAGGAGAGGAAGGGACGAGGACCAAGGAGGAGGAGCGGCTGGAGAAACAAGGAGAGAGGGAATAAGAAGAGGCGGGGCACAAAGAAGACGGGGAGAGTGAGGATGCGAAAAATTCATCCATGGAATCAGTGACCCAATGCTCCTCTGGATAGCAGGGCAAAATCCATGAAAATGCGCCAGGCACTAAACGGTAACTGAAGTGACCAAAGAGAGACCAAAAAGTGACCAGTATGACCTCCTCATCTATGACCCCCCCCACTACCTCGCGGCCAACTCCCTCCCTCCATCCCTCGCGCCGGAGGGGCAGCGATAGGGGGGGACTGGCAGACGGGGGGACGCCTCGACCTGCTAGTCAGCGAGGCCTCGTCGCCTGGTCGGCGATGGGCCCCCGACAGCGCAACCGCGGCTTCCAGGGCGGTTTGGGGCCATCGGGCCCCCATCGGCGATCCATGGGCGATTGGGGGTCGATGCATCCCCCCCTGATGTCCATCCCCCCCATGTCGTTGCCCCTGTCTCCGCGCCAAGGGGGGAGGATTGGAGGGCAGAAAATTCGCCCCAAAAATTCGCCAGCCCAACGGGCCAGAGGCGCGCTGAGATCTCCGGCACCTGCTGTACAGTAGTTCTACTTCGCGCGGGGCGGCCCCTGGAGGTCCCCGGACGAAAAGTACCCCGGCCAGGTCCCGGCCAGGTCCCGGCCGCTTCTGGCCAGAGATGGCTTTCCTCCTTTCAAGACGGTCAACGACGGCCCCAACAAGCCCTCAAGACGGTCCAAGAGGGCTCCGAGTCCTCCAACGATCGGTCCAAGACGGTTGAGGTGCCCTCCAGATACCCCCAGACGCCTCCCAAGAGGCCACCAAGACACCTCCAAAAAGAGCCCCCAGAGGCAAAAAGTAATGGATTTCCATTGGCTTTTGAAGGATTTGGGCGTTCTCGCCTTTTCGGCTTACCCGCGCTCCAAGACAGCGCAAGAGGCCCCAAAGATCGCCCCAACACGGCCCAAGAGGCCTCCAAGAGGGCCCCAAAACCGCCCCAGAGGGCCCCAAGACAGCCCAAGAGGCCTCCAAGACGGCCCGAGAGGTTCCCAAGACGGCTCCAAGAGTGGGGCCCCGACAGGGACCCGAACAGGCATTGCGACCTCTCGGCCACGAGAGGCCCCCAGAAGGCCCCAAGAAGCACCTAAGAGGTCCCAAGAGGCCCCGAGAGGCCCTGGTGAGGCCGCTGTGAGGCCCCAGGAAATCCCGCAAAGCCGCCAAGAGGCCCCCGAGAGGCCTCCCAAGAGACCCCAAGAAGCCTCGCAAAGAGGCGTCTTGTCCACAACCAAGTTCGGCCCCAAAATGCCCCCAGAATCCATCGAGAGGCCTCCTCATCCTCATCCTGCCCTCTTCCTCCTCCTTCTCCTCCTCCTCCTCCACCTCCTCCTCCTCCTCCTCCTCCTCCTCCTCCTCCTCCTCCTCCGTTCGCCACGACCACACAAACATATAGCACCAGTGGTACAGTGTGGGCCGGCGGAATGAGCGAAGCGATTAAATAAGCACCCCGGCAAGCGAAGCCGTTTAGTAAACGCAGCCAAGGAAGGAATCGAACAGGGCAGGGCTGTAGCAAACGCGCAGCGCCGTTTCGTAAAAGCCAATTATCGGGGTCGGGGTGGTTTTCCCTTCCTTGAAAGATACCCCATACATGCTCGCGTCGCGACAAGAACACGACGAGAGGTGTTTCGTCGTCTTGGGCCTCTGGGTCTCTGGGAGCCCTCACCGGGCCGCGGAGCAGTCAAAAAACGGCTCAGGATGAAGAACCCGTCCCAGGGAACCTTCCAGGGACCCCGTAGTGAAAAAATCAGGGCGCCGCATGTCTCGCCCTAACCCTGCTTCTCAAGCGACACCTTCCACCACAAAGGGTGAGCGCGGCGGGCGCTATGACCCCGCGCCCCCGAACGGACACTCCCCACCGAGCTGCTGCGACGTCTCTCCCTCTCTCCACTCATTCACCCCGAGTCCCCCTCCTTTCCCTCCAAGCCGTCCACCCCTCACTCCCCTTCCCCCCCGAGGGCCTGGGGCCTAAGGGAACAAACGATGAGCTAGACGTAAACACTCGGAGGTCCGCGCGGATTTCTCGGATCCGTGCTGGACCCCCCTCCCTGGCGCGCGGAGCGCGCCAGGGGCGGCGCCAGAGGCGCCGACAGCGGGGCCCAGCGCCGATCCGAGGAACCCGTGCGGACCACCGAGTGGCTTTGTTCATGTCATCGTCTGTTCTTTCCCCAGGCTTAGGGCACACCGGTGCTGCCCGTGTTGACGCAGATGCTACACATGGAATCTAAGAAGCTTCCTCGAGAGCGATCGCCTCAGCTGATAAGGACGAGAGATTGGTCTGCCAATGCACGTCCAGCCACGCACAGTGGATCCACAATGGATTCACAATGTCAATGAGTTTCTTCCCCTGCCCCCTCTGGGCTGCCCAGACCTCCCCGGCTTTGGACACATCCCGGTCGGCGTCTGGTGGTGCCGAGCAGCAGCGAGGCGCCGATGCGGACGTACGCTGCGAAGTTCTGCAGCCGAGAGCTGGTCCTGGAGGCGTTGGCGGAGGGGACCCCACAGAGAACAACAAAGGCGGAATGACGGTTGAACAGGTCCACCGGCCCCACTCGTGTAGGGAAATATGCAATGACATAAACGTACGAACTCTGAGGTCTGCACGGGTTCCTCGGATCTGCGCTGGCTCCCCCTGGACGCGCTCCGCGCGCCAGGTGGGGGGGGATCCGGCGCCGATCCGAGAAATCTGTGCGGACCTCCGGGTTGTTATGCTTATGTCATTGGTTGTCCCCCGATTGTGGGGCCATCAGGCTGCGGGGGCGTGGTTTCCTGCAACATGCTTCAGTTCCAGCTCCCATTCTCAAGTGTGAGAGTTCTTCTTTTTGCTTCCTGCTGTAAATTGTTTCTGTCCGCGCGGAACCGAAAACCTGCATTTTCACAACGCCCGATTCGAGTGCTGTCAATTTCTAGGGGGGTCCTGGGACACGTAAGAATATATGACTCGCGCTCCGGAGGCCAGA